TAGAATTAAAATGCACGTGCACATAAAGGTCAGTTAAAAGAAGACTTTCGCATTACCGTCGTGAAACAGATTTCAAATTTTTTCTAATGGTTTGGATTGTTCGTACTTGGTTTTATTTTATTGATAGAATGCACTACTTTGTGCACTGATTTTAAAATGGTCATTGTGTCTTAAATATTGGGTACTAGGATCCTATATTTCCACAGCAAAATAACAACATCAATATTGATTGAAATGAACCAATACTGAATTTTGGTTCATGTTTTTTATTTCAATTATTATGGGAGATATTAAGTTAGAGAGGTTTAGCTCCTTTAAACATAGATTATGCAAAGGTAAATCTGCCTATTGCAGGTCTTTCTTTAGGCCTTAAATGTTATCTAAATTAGACATTAATTAACATGACAGGAATATTATGGGAGATATTGAGTGAGAGAGGTTTAGCTCCTTGAAGTAATATTTAGTGATGTTTGAATTTATTTGAAAGGGGGAAGGAAACTCAAATATTCTGTCACTTCCTCATTTGTCAGCAAAAATTTTAGGAATAAAGAAATCTAATCATCTTTCTAATTGTGTGATTTTCATTTTATAAAATTTGTTCATCTTTGTCTCCTAACCATTGTCCAAATATTACTCCTTGTTGGTCTCTGTTCCGTGTTGTTCTCAAATATTATTCCGTGTTGTTCTCAAATATTACTCCTTGTTGGTCTCTATTCCGTGTTGTTCTCAAATATCATTCCCTGTTGTTCTCAGAAATTATTCCTTGTTTTTCTCAAATATTATTCCTTGTTGTTCACAAATATTATTCCTTGTTGTTCTCAGAAATTACATTTTACATGCACACAAACGTTAACACAGGATTCAAGATCTTTATCCCATCTGAATGACTAGAGACTGTTTTATGCAAGGTCCTCCATTGTAAACAGGGAAACAGCACTGCGAAATCCAAGGATCTTTCTCGAATAACACCAGGATAGAGTTTGGGACCTCACGCTTAGTGAACCAGAACCTTAATCACTGAGCCAGCGCCTCACCAACTAAGCCAGCGCCTCGATCACTGAGCCAGATTACAATAAACATGCAAGAGCTAAATCTGTCTATTTCAGGTCTTTCTTTACGCCTTAAATTTTATCTAAATTATTAATTAGCCTGTGATATTTAGTGGATTTGAGAGGGAGAAATGGGGTTTAACGTCCACTCGACACAAACTAGATCACTTTGGGACTAACACATGGTTTAATTTTATTTCAATAATTTGCTTGCGCGTAGGGGTCTTTAGCAGTGGGAGGAAACCGGAGGACCCGGAGAAAACCCACATGGTTGGACAGGCGACCCTACTCCTTGCCACGTACAACCGGGGATTCGAAACCACGCCAGTTGACTCAATGACAGACTTTATGGTACAGCACACACATGCTGACCATTCAGTCACCCAACTCCTCTAGTGGATTTGATTACGGATGATTTAACGTAAAATCAAGACTTTATTTATTATCGTACCAACGTTAGTAATGACGATCGAGGCTAGCCTAAAATTGAATTGCTAATATCGCGGTTAAAACGGAAGCAATTTGACTGAAATTTTCAGAATATTGTTTTCATTATCTATTTTTAAATGTTATAGCGAGAACTGTCAGCTCTTTATCTAATCTTACCTCATGCCCCTTTAATTGACCACACAACAAAGAGCCAAGATCAAGCCAAATAAATAAAAAAACAAAATGGTGTCAAGTGTCAACGGATATATCTAATAATAGATCATGGAGAATAAAGCTGTTACCTACAGTACAAGGATTAGCTTGACTGAGTGTCAATTACCATTGTTCATTTAATATCATTTTAACCTCTTTGTCATAATCCAAACCTTTAGAAAAAAATTAACATGCTTCAAAAATGTCATCAATAAATAAATGAATAAACAAAAAAAAATGCTTTTTTTAATAAATTTTATTTTATTTTTTGGGTTCAATATAAAGAATAATTAAATAATTTAAGGAGATGAATTAATCTAAGTGTTTGGTTTGTTTTTAATTCTTACTTTTTGACAATGTATGTTTTTTATCGTCAGTCTTATTTGAATAAAGATTGTTTAAAAAATAAAATTTATTTTTTATTTAGAGATATTTGACTTTGATTCTTATTACTGTTATAATGTTCTATGTTCTAATGAAATGGGTGGGGGGGGGAATGAAATAAAATGGGGTTCAACGTCCTACTGTTCTGCTCCAACTGAGCTAATTTTGAGTTGGATGACCAAATGGTTAGCGTGTGTGCGTTGTATCATAAGGTCTGCATTGAATCAACTGGTGTGGTTTCGATTCTCCAGGCGTACCTGACAAGGAGTAGGGCTACCTATCCAACCTTGTGGGTTTTCTCCGGGTCCTCCGGTTTCCTCCCACTGCGAAAGATCCCTATGCGCAAGCGAATTATTGAAATAAAATTGAACCATATGTTAGTCCTCATTTGACTTAGTTTGTGTCGTGTGGACGTTATAGGTGCTAAACCTCTTACTCATTATTTTAAATAAAATTCCAAAATTAAAAACACAAATTAAAATTCAATATTTGGTCTTTTCAATCAATATACTGATGTTATATTGCCGTGAAAATATGGGATCCTAATATCCAATATTTAAGACATAATGAACATTTTAAAATCAGTACACGAGTTGTGTAAAGGAGCCACGGTGGCTAGGTGGTTAAGACGCTGGCTCGCTAGCCTGAAGGTCGGGTGTTCGATCCCTGCATTGGCCGAGAAAGTTCATCTGGATTTTCCGACATGGTTTCCCCTAGTCAGTGGTGCAGAACGGAGGGCCTGACAAGGACAGCTGTCTAGTCCTTCGGATGAAACGAAAAAAAGAGGTCCTGTGTATACATTGGAATGCATGTAAGAGATCCCTTAGCAGTTGGAATTCGATATAAGAGTAAGCCGTAGTGCTGCTGTCCCTCATAACACACTGTATGGCGTATGCCCGTCTTCATTAGCCCAGTATAGAAGAGTAGGCGATAGTGCCGCTGCCCGGGCAAAATTTCCCTCATAGCACACTGTATGGCGTATGCCCGTCTTCATTAGCCCAGTATAGGAGCAGAACAGTAGGACGTTAAACCCCATTTCATTTCATTTCATTTCGTGTATTTCTATGCCTTAGTTCTGGGTTCCATTTGTAATGAACAAAGAAGAACATACCCTACAAGACAAGGCAGAAATAATTTCATTTCATTTCGTGTATTTCTATGCCTTAGTTCTGGGTTCCATTTGTAATGAACAAAGAAGAACATACCCTACAAGACAAGGCAGAAATAATTAGTAACTTCTGATTCCCAAACAACAATAATAATATATAAAAACATGCAGAATGAACTAAGTAGGCGTAAACAATTGCTTTTTAAATTAGACTGCTCGTCTATTTCACCAAACATTATTGATTACAAATTATTTAAACATACATTATGCAAGAGCTAAATCTGCCGATTGCAGGTCTTTCTTTATGCCTTAAATGTTTTCTAAAGTATTAATTAGACATTAATTAACTGATCCAGGCCTTAATCAACTCTCGATGGCATCAGATTTCTCCGATATTAAATAGATTAGAATGGTTCAGCGATACTTTGATTTAATCAAATATGGAGGACCAAGTCTTAGCTTCGATCAACCAGTACGGTGGTTGAAATTATTGCACTGGTCTGTCAAACCTTCAAAGGCTAATATCTTCGCTTGCAATAGAGTAATTTGAATGAAATTTTCAAATTACTCATTTTACATCATCTACTTTCGAACTATCATAGCAAGAATGGCTAGTTCTTTATCTAAATCTTACATAATGTATCTTTAATTATTTTATATACCCTCATATCACATTAATATGACTGCTTTTAGACCCATTTTCTTCTATATTAAGGTTCCAAAAAATAGAGCCCCCCCCCCCTTTAATTCCAATCAATGTCTCTCTCTATAAAAAATTGTCATAATAAAAACAGTTTTATTAAGGTTAAAAAATATAGAGCCCCCCCCCCCCTTTAATTCCAATTACTCTCTCTATAAAAAATTGTCATAATAAAAACAGTTTTATTAAGGTTCCAAAAAATAGAGCCACGTACACCCCCTTTAATTCCAATTTCTCTCTCTATAAAAAATTGTCCTAATAAAAACAGTTTTATTAAATATTAATTGTTTGATTGGTCTTTAGACTATTTTATATTAAAAAAGAAAAATACATTCAGATAGCTAAACTGTGTTAATTGATTTCAATGAAGCTCTAGAAATAATTTCCTTCCGATGATATCATTGGGATATTTTGATGCCCTATAAACCCAGTTTTCGCTACCTGGATATAAAATAATTATATTCAACGTCCAAATTTTTCTCATGTAAATTTATCCAATGGAAAACTTATGAAAATTTTTTAATTTTTATATGTTTAGATTCTCCCCACATTAAAATCGTTTGATAGTTAAAAGTTGAGTAAATGATACTGATGATAGCCTAATTTAACTGGGTTTTTAGGTTATCAATTATTGACCCAGGAATAAATTAAATGAAGATTCAAAATAAACAAAAGGATATCAATTATCTATACACGCAGTGGCTTTTGTTATTTTGACAATAATCTAGGTAGCATATTTCCAAATGAAAATGACAAATCGATATCAGTATGTGCAAATTATTGTTAACCAGGCCTCTTCATCATCATTATTCTGACTGACTAAACATGCCTCATAGGCCACTCCTTATCATTTTGAACACGCCCCTTTCTACGACGTCACATAAAAAAACAGAGAACTTGGGCGTGGCTTGTTTCCTGAACACGTGGTTTCACAGATTGGTTATTTGAAGAAAATAAATCAACACGCTTCATTTTTGAATGGAAACTTGCGACAGATCCACGTAGGATCAAATTGTTGTGCATTTAAAAGTCAAAGACATCACAAAGTATATCTGTTCTAAAAAATCTGTGAATTTATTGGGATTTGACCGTTGGACCGAAAAGGAAACACCGATATAGAGCTTTGCATCTTGGGAGTATTTTAGGCGTTGTCACGTGATCTCTTTGTGTGCTGGTCTCGCCGCGTGTGAGTCAGTACTCCTTAATATCGTCAGCTCTCATTTGCTTCAGTTTCGTCAGTTTTCTTGAAATCAGTCATCAAAGGAAGTCATCCAGACCTTAAAGGATAATTTAGAAAAAAGGATATATCTTACTGGACATGGGCCTGCAGGATACGCAGTCTTGATATTGGATGTGTTTAGAAATTTACGTCAAGGGTAGAGTGGGATTCCGTAGTTGTAATGGCGGTGGTAGGGACTCGACACGCCCGTATTATGTCCTACCCTACCCCTCAGAATAGTGCTCCGAACCCACAAGCTATCCTTGCTGCTGCTGTGGCTGTCCCCTTTTATCAAGTTGTTCAACCACAGGACGCTCAACCGGACAGACCGATTGGATATGGAGCATTCGGTGTAGTGTGGTAAGTTACTTTCCCATGTTAACATTCCATTGTCGGTTTGTGTACGAACCGTCTCTTTGTGTATGCCGTACTTCCCAACGATCATCTGACTGGCCCACAGTATACAAGCCTGTCTGTCAGAATTCTCACGTTTCACTTATCCAATATTCCTTATTTATCTGTTCAAATAATCAGTCCAAATAATATCTTGGTACAAGACAATTTTATTTTCTGATTCCAAACCAAATCGGCGTTGCCTAGCTGTAGACCTTAGACACACACGCAGAGATAGGCCTATCTATAAATAATATTTTGGGTTAAATCTGTAGTCTGTGATCATATGGGTCTGCCTGTATAAGTAACAATTTTCATCCCTATACTGGAATCATTGAATTATAATTTGATTAATTCAGAACGCTGATGATTCATGATACATCATATCATAGAAGTTATTGAGTGTAGAAAAATTAAAAACATAATTATATATGATATGTCAGGCCTTTGAAATTAATTTTCATGCACCTGTCCTATCCTGGGTGTGAATGAATGGAGTTGTACCAAGCCAGCTGATTTAACTAAACATTATATTTTTTTCATTTTAAATTAATTATGAATTTGGAATATCAATCAACGCATTCATATATGATATGGAGATCATCTGATTTCAATTCTTTAATTCTTATATTTTTTTTTCCTGGTCTACATTATATTCATTAGTTTGTTTCCATGTCAATGAAATTTTGAAATAGCCATTTAGGGTTTTCACGAAAAGAAAATCAATTAAAAAACTTTACTGATTGGCATCTGTAAAATGTGATAAAAAATGTTATAAACAAAAACTCATGAAGCCTTTGATCCCTATAAACACACCTTTATGATCTTAACATATGGCTCCCATTGTTTAGGTATCCATTGTACTTGATTGAAAAGATAACAATGGTTTTATTTATCTCGGCTTGGACTTTGGGACTGAAGGGGCACTTTATGGGTCCCACATTCAGCATATGGCAGGATAGGTTTCTTTGTTTGTATGACACTCTACCCCCCTCCAGACATTGGCCTAAATTAAAGTTCAATAGTCCTCACTACAGAGAGATTTTAACAGTTTGTTCAAGTGGTTAAATTTTGATTAAGTTACCTGTACCTGACTGATAGCCGAGTTTCACCTTTAATTACTGTACCTTCACACAAAATGTCAACTTTTTATCACCATTTGAAAACAAACAAACCTTGATTCATCTTCCAATCCCAGATGTGAGATATTTAATAATTAGTCAACATTGTCTGTTGAAATATTTAGTCATTTCGTCGTTGGCTTGAATTCAAATTTATTTCAAAGTTAAAATCAAAGATATGAAATATTATTAATATTGAAATGAAAGTTTGAAATAATTAGTCATCACAGATTCATAGTTGATTGAGAAATCTGACACATCAATATTGAAGCCATTTTGTTTTTAGCTTGTAGGATTTTGTCTTTAATTTGACATTTATTTTTTAAATTAGACATATTTATAGTTTGAAATTGAAAGATGTATATTTTGCAAAGAGAAAATAAAAATGTGAAATTATAATAAATATTTAAAATAATTTTAGCTTGATTAATACATAAGGTTATGTATGACAAAGGGTAATAATACATGTGGGCCTCCATGTAAAGTGAAAAGAAAATTTCCTAAAATGATAAAAGTTGTTGGTTGGTGTTTTCATCTTTCAGACAATAATGAATTTTCACCCCTTAATCCACGCTAAAATGAACTCAAATGACCTAGCTTGATCAAATTATTTTACTGAACACTTAGGATGCACTAGTTTATTTATTTGTCTGCTAAGGATGCTGACTAAAGCAAAATTTTGAATTCCTCCCATATGTGCATGTATCTCTGTGAATTAATTAATGCACAGAAATAAACCGTATTTGGACCGATATTAATTCAACTGTCATAATTATACTGTAGTTTGAAAGGGATTTGTATTTTACTAAATCATTTTTTTTTTAATAAAATTGGAATTTGAAAGTAATTATGTATGATATTTTGGATCTGTGAGAATCTAAATTCATTTTATTTTAGAAGTTGTTTAAACTGTAAATGTGATAATGTTTGTTAAATGGAGGGAAATGTTTTAAATAGAGATAATGGCTGTTGGTATAAAAGACAATTAGGTTGACTAATTATAATGATGTTCATAATAGAGGATGTTATTGAGTCAATTGACTGACATACTGTATGTTTAATAACTGGATGTTCAAGTTACAATATACACAAACCTTTGTGATATGTTTATAGACTTGATCTATTGGTTTAAACAATATTTATTCATAAAATATCAAATATAACATGACAATTTAACATGACAATATAAACATGACAATATAATATGACAATATAATATGACAATATAACATGACAATGTAACATGACAATATAACATGACAATATAGCATGACAATATAACATGACAATATAGCATGACAATGTAACATGACAATTTAACACGACAATACAACATGACAATTTTAAACATATGAATGATACAAAAACAAAGACAAAAACTTATGTAAATTTGTTACATATATGGCTATATTTAATATTTACTTATGATATTTCAAGAATATAATAAACTACGTGTATGATGTAAATAAATAAATATAAAGATAAATAAATGAGTAACCACCACATCAACCCCCTAAATTACATTTTAAAATGACTTGATGATCAAGGTACAAATACAAACTTTGTAAGATATTTAAAGACTGGATGTTCAAATTACAATATAAATGTAGCCTTTGTTTGTGAGACGTTGCGTAACTTGTGATAACTGTATTATGCCATTTTGTCTAACATCTCTCCCCTGTCTGCCCACAGATCATGTAATATGTAAACGTGAACGTCGTGTTAAAGCCGAGTTTATGTAAAATTATCGATAGCCAATTATCCAGACACAAATAGAATTTAGATAAAACTTTGTGTTCACACTGTGTTATAATTTATGTAATGAATGAAATCTGCATTAGTCTGTTCATACATGGTACATGTTAGACGAAATAGAAGGATATACGTTAACGTTAATGTGAATTCCAATGTTTCTTGATCAAGTGGCTTAAAAGACAATGACAGTAGACTGGTAGCAGGTAGGGGGGAGTTGGATGGCCGAATGGTTAGTGCGTTTGCGTTGCATCATAAAGTCTGTCATTGAGTCAACTGGCGTGGTTTAGATTCCCCGGTTGTACATGACAAGGAGTAGGGTCGTCTGTCCAACCTTGTGGGTTTTCTCCGGGTCCTCCGGTTTCCTCACACTACTAAAGACCCCTACGCACAAGTGAATTATTGAAATAAAATTGAACCATGTGTTAGTCCCTAAATATCTAGTTTGTGTGGACGTTAAACCTCATTTATCTCACACTCTTTGGTAGCGGGTAGCCAATGGAAACCATCTCTAACTGAACGCTACATAATATAGCATCCTTTAGTCTCATGGAAAAAAGAAAATAACCGAAAAAAATGAGAAATTTGCTTTCTGTAGAGATTATAATTGATTGATTGGTGAGAAATTGAAAGTATTGACCTTTGAACTGTGACAAATTGAAACGTGAAAGATTGCAGAGTGTGGGGTGATCAGGTCATCTGTCAGGTAAATAACTGTTATTATAAACATCAAAATAAACTGTAATATTAAACTGTCAGGAGTGTCAGTATAGGATCGTATAGATCTATTATATCCAGTTATTGTTTTATATTTGGTTGTTGAGCTGAACCAGGCATTATGGGAGATTAGATAAAGAGCTGGCAGTTCTCGCTTTAATCGTTTAAAACTAGATAATGTAATGGGAATATGCTGAAAATTTCTGTCAAATTAATCCACTCTGAACTTAGATATTAGCTTTTGAATTTTAGACCTAGCCTCGATCATCATTTCTAAAGTCGGTAAGATAAAAGACATAGTCTTGATTATCCATTTTTGGATGAAATCATCAATGAGCGTTGAGCAGCAAATCGAATTCAAATCCAGTAAATATTGCAGGCTCGCGATGACCATGAGAGTAGATTATGGTGTGAATAAGTTAATTAATGTCTAATTAATAATTTAAATAACATTTCAGGTCTAAAGCAAGACCTGCAATAGGCAGATTTAGCTCATTGGATAATGTATGTTGAAAAAAAATGACTTTGAACCATTTGTCAAAACATTTTATAAACGTATAAATTGAAATGTGAGATGAAATTGAAAATTACGAAAAACAATATTATTAACAATTTGTAGGGGATAATTGACATAATCTTTTGATGGGCATCTTTTTAATGTAGTCTGTCATTGAGTCAACTGGCGTGGTTTCAAATCCCTGGTCGTACGTGACAAGGAGTAGGATCGCATGTCCAACTTCGTGGGTTTTCTCCGGGTCCTCCGGTTTCCTCCCACTGCTAAAGACCCCTACATGCAAGCGAATTATTGAAATAAAATTCAACCATATGTTAGTCCCGAAATGACCTAGTTTGTGTCGAGTGGATGTTAAACCCAATTTCTCACTCTCTCTTTTTAATGTAGTTGAAATCCAGTCTGGAGATTATCATGTTTTCTAAATTTAATCTTACAATTTCAGTATATTTAACTGCCGATTTTGATTAACAAGTCGAGAAATTAGATAAATATATTCAATGTATTGTCTTAAAAACAATTTCAGATAAATATATAAATTATAAAGTTGAGTCCCTGGTTGAAATGTCACTCGATAATAAACAACAACAAATATATTCCGTAGAATTGTGTGATGTGTTTTTTCCAGTTCAGTTTACTAAATGTCATTGAAACTGTTGAATATTATCTAAATATTTTGAATCAAGTCACAAACTTATAGAATTGGGTCAATATGTTCTTTTGTAGGTTTTCTGTTAAACAAACTACAGAGACAGAAAACCTGGAAAATAGAAATTAAGTTAACATTTGAAATAATCATTGACAACCATATTAATGTAAGGAGTATTAGAGATTGTGAAGTCCTATTCAAAGGAAAGATATTTTTG